GGGGGGGATTTTCAAATTCATCATTAGCATCATCGTTGGTAGAAGCATCAACCTACAGCAGTAGCGACAACAGCTTCATCATGGCCTGTGGCGAATGGTAGCCGTCGCACTAGAGACTGGGGTGTTTATTTAGAGATGAACGAGGAAAAGAAGAAAACTGTCATTTACATTTCTAAAATACATGCAGTACTATCAAGACCTTTGAGTAAAGATCAATGGCCTTTATAAAAATCCAGAATTTTTCAAGGATCAACGATGGAGAGCAAATTCTACAAATTAGTATATTTAAGCCTAAGATTATTTTCTTCGGGTCTTTCCAAAATCTGGACACTCAATTAAGGTACGCCGGATCATGAGCGTACATTGTGTATTTTTCTTGCGCTTTTCAATATTTAAAATTTGAAGTTCGACTTAATATTTCTTCAACACATGCAATTGGTACCATTGATTAAAGAAACTGCACTTTTTTAGATTCAAAATTTTGGGCTCAGGACATTTTAACTGACCGATGTTATGTAACTAAGAGGGTTGTGAAAACTCTTACCAAACGTTGAGACAGAAAAATATGTGTCACAGCCCAGTGGAAAAAGATGCTCGTCAATAATTACTTTTGGGCATGTGGAGTTATTGATATCTTAAAGCGTATTGATTTGTCTATCTTTCGATGGAAAAAATACACATCTTTCTTGAACAGAAGTGAAGGTATTAACGATTAAAGCTGGGAGTTGCCTAATTCCAGAGTAAAATTGGCGAGAAAATGGCTGCCAAAGGTTTATGAGTTCCATGGTTTGAAGTCCTGGGAAAATAAAAACGTTTTTTTTTTTTTTTTTTTTTTGGGGGGGGGTATTTTTAATCAAGATTCTTCATTATAATTATAATTCACAATGAAATTGGGTTTTAATGGATACAAAAGGTGTTGAGCCGAAAAAAAGGATGCAAAATTGCCAAACCATCAGAAAAAATGCTGGTTTCTTCGATTTCACTATTTTGACAAGTGCCGGATTTCACCCCGATGCCACACATATTGTATCTAACTGGCGTGCACCTGAAGGTCGACCCAATCTATAAAGTCAAAAACTAGTGACACGTTTCATGACCCTGCTTTTTCCATTCAAACCACGGATAGGCCTTGGCCTATTTCTTCTGTGTCATTCTAAATTTATTATATTTTTTATTATTTCTAAAATACCACGGCTTCCAAGACCAAGTAGAAATGTGAATATTTTATTACAAAAAAGCTCACGTCATGCTTCAATAAAGCACACTGCAGCAGTGTCAGTCTGACCTGTGATAAAAGGAAAGATCCGCGAAACCACGAGAACTGCTGAATTACTAGACCATGTGGAATCAGCTTTTCGTTGGACCCTAAGACGTGTTTACAAAACACGATCCCGGGTGACTGGGTTCTCTCGCGTGAGACAGACATACTGCGTTACAACGACTCCTTGTAAAGAAGAAAGGTTTTCATCTCACTGCACATTCAGACCAAACATCCGCGCCCGTCTGCTTGCTTCCGTCAGACGGACGGATCCATTACAGTGCCATTGTGCCATTATATTGTTTAAAAAAAAAAAAAAAAAAAAGACGCAAAAGGAGCGCGTTTGGAAGGGGGGGGGGGGGGCATGGCAACCAAGGGAATGGCAACAAAGGGTTACGACCGCACAACAAGATCTGCATGCATTTTCGTATTTGCCACCGAAGACATCTTTTTCTTCCGGCCAACCTATCAGCCGGAGACCTTCAAAGAACTGGAAAAATAGTAAGTGCAGCCTTCATTCAGTGCCGATTGACAAAAGCGGGTTTAAGGAACTAGAGACCTTGCGAAGAGCCTGTGCTTACTGCTGCACACCGGCAAGCTCGTGTAGACTCGTACAACCAACACTCAAACTGGACTCCGAGAGACTGGAGCGGACGGAGTTACTGACGAGTTCAGATTCTACTTACTTAAGTACTTACTTTCAGTGTCATATCAGTTCATTTATTCTTTTTAATAACAGGAAACAGTAGGCCTATTGGTACCTGTAGCCAAGTAAATTGCTTGTATTGTCTTTAGGTCCGTATGAACAAGTTTAATTCATTAAGCCTCACCTGATAAGGTTTTAGTTTAGTTCAGTAAAAGTTTTAAAGCGCTCATAACTGCATACGACAAATAAGAGATGTTTGCCTTCTTCTTTGACACCTTCAAAAAGTCCGACGCAAATTTCCGCGTCCCCCACGGCACTGAGATAAGGTAAGAAGGGTCCTGCTGTTACTAGGACCGTGGCATAGTAAGACCCTGGACACGACGTAATGCCGGCACTCCTTGGACAATGTAGCATAATGTATACTCGTGGGGCATCTTTGAGAAATCAGGCACTCGTCAAAATAATATGATCGAAGAAATCGGCATTTTCCCGCTTGTTTGACAATTTTTATTGATTTTTTTTCTCAACATCTGCCTTTATATCCATTTAAGAACACATTTTCTAATGGGTTTTTCAGAAGAAGAAAAAAACGTCGGTTAAAGGCAAAATATGAACAGGGAATTTGCTGTTTCCAAGAACTTTCAAGGTTTGGAAGTTAGGAAAACTTGGCGGCCATTTTCTCGCTAAGTGAACCTCTGAAACCAGGCAACCCTACCCCTCCAATCGCAAATATCTCGACTTTTATTCAAGATCAATGAGTACTTTTTTTTCATTGTGATATTACCAATACCTTCACGTTATACTAAAAAAATTAGCGAGCTTCTTATTCCACAGCGTCATTACATTATGAGAAAATAGAACGCTCTATGTAAATGGTGACTATGTACTTTATCTCCTTACGGCAACGCCGAGGGAAAATATCCTTAATTAACCTTTCAAGAAAGGCCTATACATTTCGCAAAACTCACAGTGTCACATGCACATACGTAGGCAGAGGGTGTGAACATTTTAAGAGCTCTTCTTAGATTAGATAACGGAAACAAAAAAAACAACACAAAACAACCACAAAACAAAACAAGAAACAACAATACGAGACATTGACAGCCGAGGCATATAATATTGAGATATGAAAATAGAGAAAGAAAGAAAAACGACTAGAAATAAATGTATTATCAAGGATTAACAGAGAAACTATTAACTTATAAACAGAGGCTGTCTGAGACTGGAACTGTTTCTGGTCGCTTGCCATAAACCTCGCTCCCAACTCCCACCCCAAAGTACGCTAATAATATCCACAAATATCTCAATAATATTAGAACTCAATGACATGATAAAAGAAGTTTAAAAAAAGAAAAGGAAAAAAAATACAAAAGAGCAAGCTCACGCACGGACCCACGTACACACAGTTCACGTAAACGTAGACCCACACACACATAATATGTACATGTATATACCGGGACACACACACACATGCATGTGAAATACACCCCCCTACCCAAATCGACCCACACGTAAATAATATACATATTAACAAACATATGCGCGCGTGTGATAACTCGTGCGAGTGCGTCTGCGCGTGCGTACACAAACACACACACACACACACACACACACACACACACACACACACACACACATACACACACACATACACACACACACACACACACAAACACACTCATTTTCAGACACAAACGCATACACACACGCGCGCTCACACACACATACACACTAATTTTCAGACACAAACACACAAACACACACAAAACACAAACACACACACACACACACACACACACACACACACACACACACACACACACACACACACTCACACGAACATACAAATACACACGCAAACACACTCGCAACTACTGCACCCTACAAAGTATTGGATAACTCACCCCATCGACACGAATTCATTGTGAGAAACCTGTAAGACAAGACGACGCCTGATGCCTTCACTCAATCTTTGTCTCGTGCGACACCACTAGTACTAATACCAGAGAGGGTTTACAGTAACATTATTACAGTACTGTAAACTCTCTGCTAATACTGTAAATTTGGCCAATGGTTTTCCCGGTGAATTGTGGACAGTGAAAATGAGAGAAGCGCCACTAATAAATGGTCGCTTTTAATAAGCATTTAGTTTCAGTTTTTGTTTCAGTAAATGTTATACGGCACTTGCAACACAATAAGGTCATATAAGTGCCGAAGATTAGAGGTGTTACAAGAGAGTAACAAACATAAAAAAGAAGGAGGGGAGATAAAGACGATAGGTGTTCGATAGGAAAGAAGGAGCAAACCACACCAGAGCACCCGCCAACCACAGCACGCTTTTAAGCACAAGGGGGCTATCCCGAAAAATGCTGTTTTGAGAAAATATCGAAGGTAAAGTTTTTGCCCCTTGTTCTGTTTCTTTAAAAGACAAGGACAGTTTTCTCTATAACCAAACAAATATACACACTAATGAAACCACACTTCTCCTATAGGTAGGGCAATGCCCACTTTTGGAGTAGGTCATGATTTCTGGAAACTCCCGAAATCTGGGTTAGCCCGCTTGACCTTAAAAGTAAATCGACCAAATAATACTGTTGCGTTAGTGCAGTTGTTTTTTCCTATTCTTATCGTCCACAACTCACCGACAAAAACCGCTGGCGAACAATTTTGTCGTTTTGTGTTTTTACGTCCCCGTCGACTCAGTTTAGACCATTAAGTGGCGAGCTTATATGACAGTGCCTGTCAGGGCCAACCAGGGCTGAGAGGGATACAACATCCAAGCTGAAAATGTTTTCTCCACTCCGGAATCGAACTCGGATCTCTTGCAAGCGACAGCGAGGTGTCGAACCGTTGAACCGCATACGACAACAACAGCAATAATAATAATAATAATAATAATAATAATAATAATAATAATAATATAGGCCGCCTAATGATTGAAAATCTTCACAACATTCCCCAGAAGTTTATGAGTGTAAAAAAACAAAAAACCGTTTTACTACACAAACACTATGTCACGAATAAGTTAATACTTGTGGTCACTTCCAACCCGAAATGACGGGTCTCACGGAACAATAAAGCGACAGTCCTTGGTTACTGCGAGAGCCCCTCAATGGCTCAAGATCCTGTGGCGCGGACCGCCTCTCTTGCTGCGGAGTGATCTTTGCTAATCCGGGCTTTGGCAGAGGAAGAATGACCAGAAATAAAGCCTGCCGTCAAGTTTGTATATTGATAAATGTTGTTAAAAAGATGCGATGTAAAACGTTTCAGCTGTAAGAGTGTGCATCTTTGAATCCGGATTTCTCAGAACTATGCCCAATTGAGTTAGAATCCCGTCATTTTATAGGGACGACTTGTTGATAAACTTTGTTGCTTTCTAGAAAATCGATATTATTTAATTTTAAGAAGATATTATTATGTTGATGATTTTTGCATTAATGGAACAACCCAAATAGAAAGGATTTACTGAGTATTTGAAATGTGCGTATACGTGCAGGTGTGTGTGTGGGGGGGGGGGGGGGGGTGTATGTGTGTGTGCATTTGTGTGCGTATGTGTGTGTGTGTCTGTCCGCATCTGTGTGTGTGTGTGTGTGTGTGTGCGTATGTGTGTGTGTGTGTGTGTCTGTCCGTCTCTGTGTATGTGTGTGTGTGTGTGTGTGTGTGTGTGTGTGTGTGTGTGTGTGTGTGTGTGTGTACCTGTGTGTGTGTGAACTGGTTTTGGCCTTTGATTTAGGTCTTTTGTTTGTGCCACTGACGTTCTTGCGCGAGCATTAAGCGCGCCGGCCTCTGAATTAAACCAACAAATTTAATATTCAGCAATATTAAATTGTTTTGTTGGTTTTTGCTTTTGATTTTGTTTTTGTGTTTGTTTTGGGGTTTCTTTTTGTTGTTTTTTTCCCCTTCTTGTTTCGGAGGGGTGTTTTGGGATAATAAAAAAATAATTCTATTTCAATTGCTTTTTTGCTTCGGTTTCTTTTGCTGTTTGCGTGTTTTTCAAAAGGACATCCACCCTTTCATTTTCGATTCATTAATGTGCTTAAAGCGTATCTTGAGAGAGACATAAGCCTAGCTATTGTCTCTGTAATACTCAAGGACTATTGTATTTACCATGTCTGAACCTGGAATGGTCAAGTGGAGATATTTCCACCTGGATGTCTTGTATTCACAGGTAAAGTTCCTTATCTAATCAGGGCTTTGGCAGAGGAATTACCAGAAATGAAACCTGCCGTCCAGTTTGTACACTGATGAATGAGTTGAATTTGCACATTCATAAATATTGCTAGAGCGTGTGGTTTTCACGAGGATTTTTAGTGTTGTCTTTTATGTTGTATTGTTTTTGTCTGTTTGTTTTGTTTTCTTTTTCGCGTATTGCTCATTTCGTTCTTTTCGTTCTTCGCCAACGTTTTAAATTTACGATTTGAGTAGCCTAGCCTAGTGTTACGTACAATATTTTAAAAAGTTCTAAACCATGAACTTCAATCGAGCCATAGCCCAATAATTGGCAGGGGAAAGAGAAAGAGAAAAGAGCAACAGCACCTAGTCTAGCAAAAATTACCAGAGGATGCTAAACTAAAACCTCAGCTAGTATTGTTTTGTATTGCAATGCAATATGTATATTGTAAATAATCTCTGCATATTTTCATATAGCCTACATGTATTATCATCAACTCTTGATCACTACGTTTGCTTGGATTTTCAAAAATCAGTACCGGTACTTTCAACCCCACCCCC